GTCAAAAGTAAGCACTTCTGTAAGCTAACAGCACCAACAAAGCTCTGCAAGATAAGGAGGTTTAAATAAGGACTTGACTAATATCAGAGGCATTGCAAGAAACCAGCAAGAAACAGAAAAATTACTTTTCTCTTTAAGCAACCACAAATACCAAACAATAGCAAAAAGACTTAAAAAGGGATTTTTAGATATCACACACTGAAACTGTTTATGCTTACCCACTTAAATCCCTTATCTACTTACAAATGATTAGTAATTTATAGATATCTCATTTCCCCTCAAGTTTAAAGATCCTTTTTAAGGTCTTCTGCCATACCTCAACAAAACTGCCACAACTCGTTCAAACAAGCCTTAGAATATGTCTAAGCAGACTTAAGACAGTGACACGAAACCTCCACCACAGATGCATGATCCACTTTGGAAGACAGAATAACGTGGTAAACGTAGAATCATAAAATTGTTTTGGTTGGAAAAGACCTTTAAGCTCACCGAGTCCAAACATAACCTAGCACTACAAAGTCTACCACTAAGCTGTGTCCCTAAGTACCTCATTTACTCATCTTTTAAATACTTCCAGAGATGGTGACTCCACCCCGGGCAGCCTGTTCCAACGCTTTACAACTTTTCTGGTGACGAAATTTATCCTAGCATCCAACATAAACCTCCTGTGGCACAACTTGAGGCCATCTCCTCTTGTCTTATCACTCGCTACATGGGAAAAGAGACCAACCCCGACCTTACCACAACCTCCTTCCAGGCAGTTTCAGGTAGTTGTAGAGAGCAATAAGATCTCTCCTGAGCTTCCTTTTCTCCAGGCTAAACAATCCCAGTTCCTTCCACTGCTCCTCATAAGACTTGTGCACTAGACCCTTCACCAGCTTTGTTGCCCTTCTTTGGAGCTGCTCCAGAACTTCAGTGACTTACTTGTAGTGAGGTGCCCAAAACCAAACACAGTATTCAAGATGTGGGCTTATCAGTGCCCAGTACAGGGGCATAATAATTTCCCTAGTCCTGCCGGCCACAATTCCATGATGTATCCTGGAATGTAGGGCACCCCAGCAGGTGCCTTCACTATACTGAGCATGAAATAAACCTGCTGAAAGGGAAAGAAACTACAAGAGGGAATCAGCTGTGAACAAGAACAGAGAGTAATTTAAAGGAGAAACCAGAGCAACAAGCTACTCTGGGAAACTGCAAGTTGATGGGCAACTTATTTATTTATTTATATTTTGGTAGACAAAAATGCAGTGTTTGGACCAAAAGGCATTAGAGCACATCATGGAAACCCTAAGTCTGTACCAAGCCAGGCAAGGGATAAAGAGTTCTCCAGGCTATGAAGCTATAAGGAGTCTAACTTAACAAGCAAAGATCATTGATTAATGTCTACCAGAAGAGTGGGTGGACTTCACACTTGTCAATGAGGCACAAACTGTACCAACCACTGTACAAAAGAGGCAATTTTACTCCCAGGTACTCCATGTACTGGCTTGCAAAAATACATAACAGAGGTAGATGAGCAAGACCCAAAGTCCCTGAGCTGCTCAGGCACAGCTGGGTGGCTGCCCACACTTCCCATGACCAGAATGGAACACACTTGCATTAAGTGCTGAAGGCAAGCATGGTTGCCCAAGACTGAGCACCCGCATGCCACAGTCTAATTGCAGCTGTGGCTACCCTTCTTCCATGACCTTGCTCACTAAGGCTCCTGCAAGAGGAGCCTTTCTCTTTGGCTAATAGCTAGGTTTGTGGACGTTGCATTCC